ACCCGGGAGCGGCGGCGGCGAGGCGGGAGGCGACGGGAGGGAGGAGACAGGACGGAGGCGAGGCCCCGGCAGCCGCGGGTGAGTAGCCCCGGGACAGCCCGAGCCACCGCCCGCCGCCGGCGCGGGGGACTCAGAGGGCGGCGGGCAGAGATGCGCCSGGGCAGCGCCCCTGATGGGGAGCGCGGCGCCGGGGGGCGGCCCGCGGGTGCTGCGGGCACTCACCGGGTGCCTGCTGGGCGCCCTGGTGCTGAGCACGCTGCTGGGCAATGCCCTGGTGTGTCTGGCCGTCCTGCGCTTCCGCCACCTGCGCAACAAGGTCACCAACTGGTTCGTGCTGTCACTRGCCATCTCGGACCTCTGCGTGGCCCTCCTGGTGATGCCCTGGAAGGCGGTYACTGAGGTGGCTGGAGGCTCCTGGCTCTTTGGCAGCCACTTTTGTGACACCTGGGTGGCCTTTGATATCATGTGCTCCACCGCCTCCATCCTCCACCTCTGCATCATCAGCCTGGACCGGTACTGGGCCATCGCCAGCCCCTTTCGCTACGAGCGCAGGATGACRCAGCGCCTCGCTTGTGCCATGATCGCCATGGCCTGGGCTCTCTCCATCCTCATCTCCTTCATCCCAGTGCAGCTACACTGGCACAAAGCCAAGGACARTGGAGACCCAGGTTCCTGGCTACCTGGGACACCCCGCTGCGAGGTCAGATTGAACCGCACTTATGCCATCACCTCTTCTCTTATCAGCTTCTATATCCCCGTGGCCATAATGATCATCACCTACACCAGGATCTACAGAATTGCCCAGGCCCAGATCCGCCGTATCTCCACCCTGGAGAGAGCAGGGGGACAGTGGCCAGCTCATGGCAAGGAGCCCCCCTCCTCTTTGCGGAGTTCCTTGCACAAGGAGACCAAGGTGCTGCAGACACTTTCTGTCATAATGGGAGTCTTTGTCTGCTGCTGGTTGCCCTTCTTCCTGSTCAACTGTCTGCTGCCCTTCTGCCAGCCCAGCCTCGAGAAAGACCCTGAGGGACAGTCAGCCTGTGTTGGCCAAACCACCTTCAATGTCTTTGTGTGGTTTGGCTGGGCCAACTCTTCAGTGAATCCAGTGATCTATGCTTTCAATGCAGACTTCAGGAGGGCTTTCAGCAACCTCTTGGGCTGCCGGAGCTGCTGTGGCACACCCAAATCCCCTGTGGAGAGGGTGAATGTCACCAATGAGCTGGTTTCCTATCACCGTGATACCACATGCCAGAAGGAAGGAGCTGTCTCATTGTCAGCACCTCCCGCTGCCATCACTGCCTGGGTGCAGCCCATGCCCCGTGCCACCAGCCTCCAGGGAGAGGACAGCAGTGAGGAGATGTCTATGGAGAAGAGGGTTGTGACTTCTCAGACCCAGACTGCCCCTGGCAGCAGCCCCAGCAGTTGTCAGGTGCCAGCTATTTTGCAGTTGGATTGCAAGGCAAAGCTATCCCCAGAAACTGTGGCTCCTGCTCAGGACTTGGTCAGTGTGAAGGACCCCAGTGCCTTGTTGCAGAGGGATAAGTGATTAAACACTTCTCACACACAGCCACCACACAGGGAGAGCTCTCCCTGTCTCCATGGAAGCTACATCTGTCCCCCAGCAACAAAAGTCCCATGCCAGTGGGATGACTGCTCTTACCACAGAGGGCTGATGGGCATAGGAAGTCCATTCCAAAGGCACTCAGCAGCCACACGTTAACTTCTTCCTATGGCCACTTCACCCCTTACAGTCATTAAACATCCCATGCATTTATTCACCCCCATGCTGCAAACCTGAGGTATGTATTAAGAATARTGAAATAATTAGATCAAAATAAAAACAACTCATAGTTCAAGACTCCACAATATATTACATAGATTAATTTATCTTAGATACAGCTTCCTTGCTAAAATGCATTTCTCCCCGCCTCATAGTTTCACACATGTTCATAGTCCTGGTCTTGAAGGTTTGTGGGTTTWCTTCTGTGTTTTTTTCAAAGCTGGGGTCTGGATTTACACATCTGAATCTGTTTAGGTTCTCCAATAAAAATTGCTCTGTTAAAACATTTCTATCTTGTACTGAGTCAAAAGACTGCTCAAAACACTGGAAACTKAAATTGTTTTTATGTAAGACCTCAAAACATTTGCAGGTGTCTAACTTTGATGTACAGGCTTAATGATATTGAGCTAGGATCTTCATCATCCTCAAATGTTAGAAATATATTATTGTATTAAGCTGAAGTTGCAGAAGGAGTGTGTTTGAGAGAGAGATTTAAGCTGCTATCAGCTGATGCAGCTGTAATCCTTCCTTTTTCCTATTAGTTCAGGCAGCTAAGCCCGCCAGGAAGTAGAAATAWATGATCCACAAAACAAAAAGTGACCAGATCACCTATCTCAACCTATTCCACTACTTGCAGATATGAAGAGCAACAAAGGGCAGAGCAAAGAGGTGCTAGAAGGCTTGCAGGAGAGAAAATATTGGGAAAACTTTATGATCATTACTGTGTGTAAAAGGGTTCAGCAGACATTAAGGGAGTACAGCAGCATTTCACTGTCCTCTGCTTCTCTGTCCACTACTTAGAAGTTCTGCGGCTGACTATTTAATGCTGTGCTCCRCTAAACCTCCATCCTTCCCTATTTTTCCTGTCCCTCACCTCTGATGGATTTGCTTTGACTTATTTCAGAAAGATGATGAAGRTGCAACTGTCCAGACAGAGATATCAAGAATGCTTACACTTCAAGAGTTTTCTTGGGCATTCAGTCTCACAGATTGCACAGCTGATATCTTTCAGAACAGTGATCCATGCTGAAAGGACAGCAGCAGCAAAGACAGATTCTCCTCCCAGTGATCCTGCTCCCTTGTGATTTTCAACCACATGTAGTTCTTAAGTCCCTGTATGCAGGGACTTATCTCCATGATTAATTCTTATGGAAAATATGCTTTTGCTRTCCTGCTCTTTTCAGGAATGTGTCCTTGGGGAATACTTGGGTGTGACTGCAATCTCTTCTTCACGGGCAACACTGGCAGGACAAGAGGTAATGGGCTTTACTGTAAGAAAGACCAAGGCAAGAATTTGGAAAATCTTTCTAAGATGAAAGATAATTAAGCACTGGAGTAGATTACCTAGGTAAGTTATGACATCTCTCACAGCAAAATGATGTTGTAAACATCTGTCAGAAATGATAGTGACAACGTTAATCCTGTCTTGGGGCAGAGGCACAATGTAAGGATCTCTTGAGATAATTTCTAGTGCAGCTTCACTATGACAACATGTCTCCTTAAGCTCATCTTAAGATGTTTGATTGTTGGGTTTTTTGCATGCAACCGTAAATTGCATCTGTAGATATTTTCATTGAGGCAAAAAATATACAGACAAGAACTCTGAGATGCCATTGGTATACTTCCTTTCTCTTAGTGATTATCCATTTATGTTAGCATTTAACTACTATCATTCAGTATGCCTAGTGCCTCCTCTGGAGAGSAACTCTGAAATAAACCTGGTATTTCCATAGAAGAGATACAAGATGTGTGGGGTTTTTGTTTTGATTCCCATTGATTGCTTTCTGGGTGATATATATGAACTGTGCAGGAATTCATATGTTACAGATTAAATCAATTTTTGAGAGTAATTTCCTCGATACATTTCTTACATGCAAGAAACACGTATCATAAGAATGTCAGAATCTTTACACTTGCTCAAAAAAAACCCAAAAAACCTTCAAAATTGTATCTTCAAGCTCTAAGAGACAGCTCACCCTCTCTACACAAAAACTCATCCTAGGGTGTACTGGTACACCTGACAAGATACTACCCTGCAGTGTGACTCCCTCATTGCCTGCTACTCTTCTGTTTGTGCTGCACGATCTGCAGCTCCATCCCTCAGAGAGTGAACTGTCCCTGTCCACACATACATCCTCCAGCTCATGGGCAGGCAACTTTTTTTTTTTTTTTTTGGAAGTATGTGCACTGTCTTATTATTAGTGAAAAATATATTCATGGAAGAGAAAGGTTTATCTTCTCACAAGGTTTGCCCTGCTATGGGGGCTGTCTCACCCACAAATTGGGCTGGACTTGCTCTGTAGAGGGTGATGAAAACAGTGTAGGGCAGAGTGGGTAGCAGAAATTGAGCAATGGATATATTTGAATAACATTTTATTTTATTTTAAGAATAATCAGAAATGCATGGTATCTTCATATAAAACCATGCTTGCATTAAGAATGGAAAAAGCTATTTGTGTCAGTACTTGTGGCTATAGCTTAAATATGTTTCATTAATAGGTCAGAGTGTACCTGGAAATAAATGTATATTTTGCTGACAAAAAACTCCTGGTCTTTACTGAAGCTTTTTTAAAGTGACAACTTGAAATTGCTTTTTGTAAGTGATGTTGGAAATAATTGTTTGTACTTAAMTGATAATGGTTATTACTGATATGCAGATGATAAACATTACAGTATATTACAGCTGTAAGGTCTATTGCAGTAAGTGCAGTGTAATGTTCAAGACTGCAATAAATTTCAGAAACTGCATATTATAAACTCTTTATTCTCATTTTCAGTAGCATATTACTGAAGGCATTTCATATGAAATACACCACATAGCTATTCAGACTATATCTGCTGTTGGCAATTTAATAACATAGAAATATTGATGCTGTATGTAGTTTTATTTTCCTGGACTGGGAAGCATTCTACAGCCCTCACACTTCTGTGAATAGTAAATGAGCAAGGCTTATTTTCCTTAATAATTTTTTGTAATGATTAACTGTGATTTCTGATTGACATTTTTCTCATCACAGGGCAAGCTGCTGTGTCAGATTACACTAGATTCAATTAATATTGTTGGGTTCAAGTGTGATAAGAGATATCAAAATTATTACAATAAGCCAAGGTATACTTCAACAGAAATCAAGAGACAGAATTATTTCCTATTTACATTATTGCAGCCACTTGAAAGAAATACCTTTCAAAGCAAAAACTTGGCAGCACTTTGTTATCTATTTCTGGGCCACAACTTCCTTGGCTTGGCAGGACAAATTGAATCACAAAGTTATTTTTTAGGGAGATCTATGGCCATTCCTCAAACACACTTTTTTTAACACCGATCATCAAATCCACATATCTCTTTATGAATTCACCACAGTATGTGTGAGGTGTTTCACTGACTAAAAGTAGTTAATTTCCCTRCCTAATAGTATCACATTTACAATACCATTAACGTCACAGTGACCTAAAAAATACCTTCTAAATAGCCCTGGTGTCAAAACAGTGCAACCTCACAGACACCTTATCTAAACACTCATATTAGCCAGTGCCTAAACATCTGAATCAAAACACTGTTCAGTTCAAATAATTCCCACTCTCTTTCCTTCTGTCAGTCTACAAAGTTCTCAACCAGCTGCAGGTCCCATTTCTTTATTATATAGCTGAGATAAATGAAAAATTCTTGTGATCATACAAAAGGTCAAGTAGCTGAGATTATAGTTTTGTACATCTTTAACAAATGCAGAACCCAGTAGAAATGTCAATGTAAAGTAAACAAGACCATACCTCAATTGTATGCATCACACTCCATGTTTTTCTTATCTCTCTGATTAGTATCAGATGCTTTAACAGTTCTGTTRAGCTTTCAGTGAAGAACAGCTGACCTAGCAAGCAAAAAGAGAAACCCATTACACAACTTGGTTGTCAGAAGCATCTGTTGTTTTGCTTTTGCCAGAATCACGCCTCTTGTGCTGGATTTGAGATGAGGCACCTACACAGACCATACTAAGCAATTTCAATATCTGAATATCAATAAAAAGACTATTGTTAAGAAGTCTCAATTCTTCATAAACTCTTTTCTCCCCTTAAACTTGGGAGGTTGAAGTGGCTTTCTGGGTATTAACCCCCATCAGCCCARTCCCCCTGGACTCTGATGTACCTGAGTGGTTTCACCACCATGGTTCCATGGGCTGTTCCTCAGATTTATAATTCTCTTCATAACCAATTCGCATTTATACCAAAGAAAGGCAAAGATGTTAAAGGGATGATTTATTTTCTAGCATATTTGGCCAGAAAAAACTTACTGCAGTCCTGTTCTGGCCTTGTTATTCCTTCTGRGTCTCTGCTTGTGTCTGATCATCGAAGACATTTTAGAAAACCCAGGGCTTGTGAATGCTTTTCACATTTTTCTAAGCTACCTAGCTACATGATAGGAGAACTGCCAATCAGTGGAAATACTGACAGCAATAAATGAATTGTGGACCTGTACCCAAGATTTTTCTCATGTGCATAGTATGAAATGAATGAAGATGCTAGGGAAAATGTAGGTGTATCTTCATTAACCAGAGAAGAATTTCATCTTGAGAGAGTTCTAGTTTAGTTTAAGTAGTGAGAAGACATCTCCATTTGTAAAATTTGCAGAAATGGCTGCTGGGTTCCTTTTTTTTTCATAGAGGTTTCTGCAGTTCAACATTTTAATACATTTTTTACTAATTAAATTTGTCTTTGCACCCACCCTYAGTAAGAGCATGTCACTTCGTTTTATTCTTTTCATATTTAAATCTGAACTGGCTGAATGGAGCCTGTAAACACTATTTCATGGGCTTACATCTTGTGATGATTTTTGCATGGAATATGTGGGCAAGTTGTCTGAGCCTCTATTACAATCAGGGGAAATCTAGGCCAAAGAATCAAACGTGTCTAGAGCGATTTACTGAATTAAGGGAAGATTCCTTCTTCAGGGTGAGAGGAAAAACTGGCTAGACTGACTGGAAAAGAGCCGGTGATGCAGGATAGTAAGGGAAGGGGAATAACGTGAGCCAGTGTGCAAACAAACTAGTTGCATGTTTTTGCTAAATCAGTTAGAGATTATACTAAAAACCCAACAAGAGCAAATGATCTTTATGATGTATGCAGAGATGGATTTGCTCTTTGGTTTGGTGGTCAGTCTGAAAAGTCTCTCTAGCCTTACCATTCGGGAAATAAAAAAAGGTAATCAAAGTAATGTGAACTATCAATTTTACAAGGTAGTTAAAATAAATGACTGCATAAAATAAYGCAGAATATAGAGTATATAAAGTACTAAAGCCTAAGTCAATAACATAATCATCAGAGATAACATCATGACAAATGTTCTTGGTGTACATTTGCTAACAGAAGGAGAGAAATACACCAAAGAGCTGAGTTTCAAGAGATCAAATGGGTAATTAGATATTGCCTCTGATGTTTTGGATTATAACAGAATACTAGTGCTGCCAAACTACACTGTGACAATAAATTAACGGATAGTGGTGATTAATAACCATAATTTCCGCACTAAGAATGTTTATCTTGTAGTACCAATGCATCCAAGYCATGAATTAGTTTCACCACACTGATAGTTCCTTGGTGTGCTGCCAGCCTACAGTTTTGAAGCTCTTCAAGAGTTTAAAACCCTCAAACATCTGTTACCATCACAAGTAACAGAGAGCAGCTATTAGTGGGGACAGCAGGGCTTTGGGGACATGGCAGGCTCCTTTCAAAAAGGGGCTGGTTTGCCCTGTACTGCTGACAGCTTATGTTACTGAAGAAGAACAAAGTAGTTTGAAAGATGTTTCTAGTGGAAGCAATTTCCTTGAAGTAGGGTAAAAAGTTGCTGTGATAATCCCTAGAGGAACCACCTCAGCACAGCTGAGGTCTGGGGTAATAAAGATAAATCCTAATGCTTTTTGTGCTGAGCTGATAAGTGATAACTCAAACTGATTTTATTTGCAGCACAGGTCACTGCACTCACTACTTCCATATAATGCTCAATAGTTGCTAATCTGAATATGCACTACGTTTTAATTTTTTTTTTATAGAAACAGCATTTTATTTTACCTCTGAATAGCCCCCTTTGTGARTTTAAGCCTAACTTTCAGTGACAGGCAAGCTAGACAGGCACAAAATTTGAATTGTAAATGCTTTGTTGAGCTTTGACTGTTGTTTAGCATGTCTTACTTCATAAAGCTGAAACGTGTAATTTTGGGGTGGCACAAGCTGAGCTCAAACAATGCCTCAAGTCATATGCTTCCAAATATATATATTCTCCTTAAGTGCTGCTGCATTCCTGCTGCCCTGCAGCCCATGAGAGTCATTCCTGGGGAACACACTGAGAGGAGATAAAGGAAATCTATAGCCAGTAAAAAAMCAATAACCTGGGAGGAAGAATACGATCTCATTGCTCTTTTACAGACTCAGTTCAGTTGATCTTTATCTTCTTTTAAGAGTAATGCTTAAACTGGATACAATGCCCCACTCAAAGCCTGGCTTTAGCMCATGCCTTCCCCATCAAATCCAAGAGCTAAAATTGCACCTTGGAAAATTCACGTAAAAATGAGGAGAAACAAAGACTAACACCTGCTTTACTGCAAAAGATGAGTCACAATCATGGAGGGAAATGTGTGTGTAAATATAGGTACCAGAAACAGGAGAACACAGCAAAGAATATTAACAGAAATTAATTTTTATAAGGGAAGGCTAGACAAGTTTCATTCTGTTTTCTTTCCTTAGTTCCTGAAGAGTAATAACTTGTATGAGATCTAAAGTAAACTGTCCAAAAACTATAATAGCAACATGCTCCTTAAAACACCCAGTAATATTTTCCTCCAAAGTGGATACACTTAGGATAATCTACTATAAAAGTGATCTCAAACATGTTAGACAACTCCATTTCACACTACATAAATGGCAGCAAGAATGTGAAAAATGGACAAAGACCTCAGTGTAATAATACACAACAATTACAGGTGGTCAGAACTTAGTTTGAAAGCAGCTCCAGGGTTTGGTGRACTAATAAGCTGAGGCACATGATGTGCCTTGTGCTCACTGGAGCACAATGGAAAGTCACAATGCAGTCCTTTATGATGCCTCATGGTACCCACAGCCCTCAGTCAGATGCCAAAATTCCTCCTACAGCCCATGGGGAGTCCTCAGCACCTCATGAAAGCCATATACACCATGTGGYGTGATGAGAAAGGAGCCCACAGCTAACAGTCAGACCAGCCTGGTCCTTCAGAGGCAGTTCTGTAACTCCAGGCCAGGAGGAGACAACAGCTTCCTCTTGAGATTCATGGTTGCAAGCCCTCTCCTATGGTTTCTTGCCCAAGACATTTYATTCCCTTCTCATGGTCATTTCTCCTCTGCTGTTCCCCCCTCACTCCAAACAAGGAGATTCTAAGTGTGTAGGGAGTTAGGAAGGTGGAGAGCTACCTGAAAATGTTTCTCCTCCCCTGAATTAGAGAAAGGACTCTGCAACTCACCTCTCCTCCAGCCGTTGCTCACTCAATCTCTGCAGAAGTCTCTCATTTTAGGACTCATCGCACAGAAATGAGTCAATATCAGCCTCTGTCCTCCCTTGAGTCATRTGCGTGAGAATGGCTTGGATTGGGAGAAATCTTTAAAGCTCTTCTATGTCACCCCCCTTCAATAAGCAGGGACACCTTCAACCAGACCAGGACGCTCAGAGCCCCATCCAGCCTCGCCTCAAGTGTTTCCAGGAAACATTCCCTCCCCAGGAAACCTGAGGTTTTCCCAGTGCCCCACCATGCTCATTGTAAAATATCCTTCCTTATATATGTCTAAATCTGCTATTTTCTCGATTAAATCCATTAATCTAGGTTAAATCCATTACCCCTTGTCCTGTCACAACAGGCCCAGATGAAAGTTTGACCCCATCTTTCTTACATGCCTTCTTTAAGTACCAAAAGGCCRCAATAAGGTTTCCCCAGAGCCTTCTTATCCCAGGGTGAACAAGCCCAGTCTCTCAGTCCTGTCTCACGGAAGTGTTCCAGCCACCTGACTATTGCAATTGCCCTCCTCTAGAGCCAATCCTACWGGTCCATTTCTGTCCTGTGCTGAGGGCCCCAGAGCTGGGGGCAGCACCAGAGCAGAGAGGCAGAACCCTTCCCTCACCCTGCTGTCAAACTGCTTTGGATACAGCCCAGGATRCGTTTGGCTCTCTGGGCTGTCAGTGCGCATTGCTGGGGCATATCCAGCCTGTCCTCCATCAGCACCCCCCAGTCCTTGGCAGGGCTGTTCTCGATCTGTTCCTCCAACACTGAGGGCAGCACGGAGCTGCTGGTAACTTGAGAGTGAGTGACAGGGTCAGAACAATGAGGAGTTTGGAACAGATGCACAAAGTACATCACCACCCATGAAACAGAAGCACATGCGGATTTTGAGAGCCTAATTATGAAAAGAGATTTCTGAAACTGGTGCCTGATCTCCCATGCCCAAATGTGCATAAAGGTAATGTCTACGTTCTCTTGAAACTTCTGGCATTTTTTAAAACACCTCCTTTAGAGAGGATTCTCACCAGGTTAAAAAAACCCAAACAATCCCATCCTAAACAATCCACACTGATCTGTTTCCGAAATGGGAATCTCTTTGCAGCTGATGGAGTTAAAAGGAAAATAAACAAATTGATTCCCATCCACCAGGCATACACCCAATCTCCCCGTKTCCCTCCAGGTCCCCGCACAGCCGAGCTGCCGCTGTCCAGCTCGGCTCCCAGGCTCCCTCGTCACCTGGGAAGGGGGCCGGGGTTGCGGGATGGCTTTGTGGCACCGCCGTTCGGTTTCCTCGAACGAAGCTGAGTGTGTCGGGCAGGATCCCGCGAGCCGGTGCCGTCGGGGCACAGCGCTGCCGTTGTGTCCCCCCGCTGTCCCCCCGCGGGGAGGGGCGTCGGCGGGGGCAGTCCCCGAGCATTGATAACCCCGGGGCCGGTCCCGCCGCGGGCAGCCGGGGAGCGCGGAGCCGCCGCGCACATCTGTGCCCGCAGCGCCACGCACCGCACAGCGCACCGTGAGTGCCTCGGGACAGGGCAAAAACACCGGGGTGCGTGGGGAGACCGGGTGCGGGGGAAAGGACGGGGAGCGGGTTGCCCGGAGCCAGGTCCGATGCCGCTCGCAGCTGCGATGCCACAGCCGCAGGGTGCGGGCTCCGGCCGCTGCTGTCCAGTCACGGCTTCCTGCCCGGGGTGGTCCCGGGACGGAGCGGGACGGACACGAGCTAAAAGTCGCGAGGGTTACGAGCCCGGAGGGACTCGGGCTGGGGCGATCCCGGGGCTGCGCTGCCGCYGGGGCCCGGCCCGCCACGCTCCGTGTGTCCGCAGGGCGCGGAGGATGCGCCGGGAGGGCGGGCACCGCCCAGGGACGCCCCGTCGCTGAGGCGCGCCGACGATGAGGCTGCCGCTGGCGCTGCTGGCCCTGGCCGCCCTGGGGGCCGTCGGCTCGGGCCGGGAGGCGGCGGAGGAGGCGCGGGCGGGCCGGTTCTCCACGCCGGAGCGGCACCGGTGCCGCTGGGAGCTGCGCTCGGCGGCGGGGCCCAGCGAGCTGCGGCTGAGCTGCCGGGCGGCGGGCGGCGGGGCGGAGCGGAGCTGCACCTACCGCGGGGAGCCGCGGCTCTGCCCGGCCTTCGGCGCCCGCAGCCGCCAGTACTGGCGGCAGATCGTGTCCCGGCTGCGGCGGCGGCAGCACCCCTGCGCCCCGGGAGCGCCGCTCAGCGCCCGCCTGTGCGGCCCGGGCCGGGCCCCGCCTGAGGCACAGCTGCGCCTGCTGCCCGAGCCCGGCCCGGCCCCCGGCCCGGAGCCCACCGAGGAGCCGGCGAGCACCTACTGCGCCGAGCGCTGGCACTCGCTGTGCAGCTTCTTCGTCGGCTTCTGGGAGGGCTGAGCCGCCCCGGCCCGCGGGAKGGAGCGCGGCCGCCCGGCCCGGACACTGCCGGCCTCGCCCGCCCTCAGCCACCGCCGCCAATGCCCCCCGACTCTGTCCGCTCTCCTCTTTTATTCCCCAATAAAGCGGTAACTATTTTGTGACAAAAACCTTGCGTAATTCTTTGTCTCGTCCAAGCCGTGTAATACTTGCAGCACTGTAACGCTGATCACTAGTGTGTGTGACTGACCTGGCTGAGAGCGCCTGGGCACGGCTCTTGCATTCAAGTACATTAATGCTTTTCAGAGGACAAAAACACGAAGAGATGGCCGTTCCCTCTCCAAAGTCAATTTCTATGAGCCTAAAGTTTAAGGTTACACTGCAATCACCCAACTAGAAAACCATACATTGACACCAGAATAAGAAACAACTGAAACTTCACTAAACAGTAAGTCCTAGAAAAACTTTTCCTGAGATTTCACAAGCTACATGAACCAGTTCTGTCCTGTTTGCCACAGAACAGTTGGTCAACTGACTGTCTYCAAACATGAACTCAGAAACAGTGAAAGCTGTGAAAAGAAAGTTTGAGAAACTCAGAAGCACCTGAAGTACACGAACTGAATTTAGGAGATGAATGRTATTTCACCCAAGTAATGGCATGGAGTTGAAGTAGGCAACTTGTTTTACCAAGGGGGAATAGGAGTTTGAGATGTTCAATACTTCAATCCATACAAAATGTGGCACATTTTGATAAGGAAAGCTCAAATTTTTCTTGTCTGCCTGGGGTCCTACACAGCTCCTGACAGCTGACCGTGTCCAGGAGCAGTTACAGACTCTTTCTGTACAGTTTTAAGGATGTCTGTGAGAAGGCCACCAAGAAGCAATGGGGATCTGCCCTGTGGCTCTCACGAGGATCTGGGCTGTGTCACGCAGCTCTTAGTGCCGAGGTGATTTCCTTTACAAGTGGCTGGATAATGCTCAGCAGCACTATGCAAAACTTCATCATCACTGTGTGTGGCTTGGGTGACTATTTTTCAACAACTATTCACTTTTCCTTCRTGTGCCTGTCACCCAAGCAGCCACAGAGCAGGCTGCTGGCCAGAGCATTGCACAGTACCTTGCAATAATGCTCAGCTTTGTTTCACTTCCATGGTACAGCAGCTTTGTGCAGTGCTGCTAGAGCTTGCATTTCTCACCATCAGATGCAAAGGTGGAACACCATGGCAACCAAGCTGATTACCCACATCACTCTGCATTTAAAAACCCAACTGGGAACTCTGAACAAATTCATTGTTTACCCAAGAGGGAGAAGAAAGAAGAGGATCCCTTGCTCTATGTTTAACCACAATATTCCCCTATTTCTCCAAAACAGCTCGAAATCTTCCTTTCAGCAGCACCAACTAATGAAATACAACAACCCAAGAGAACATTCATTGCATTTACTGTGGTTAACAATGCCAATGCCTAGTGCTGCATAGCAACAAATACTCAGTTTTTCTACTGAAAAACTGATCTGCAGACCCCAAAGGCTGGAAAATATAGGGAGATACTCAGGAGCTCATTCCCCACCCCCAGATTTAGTTCAGCCCCCCAACTCCACCCCCCTTTACTTCTGCTCTCCCATTGCAGCTGTGGCGGCCCTTCACCACTCCTCGGGTTCCTGTCACCACATCCTTTCCTTCTCAGCTCCTCCTGACTGTCCTCTCAAGGAGATCCACTGTGGGCAACGTTCCAGGCCCAAACCCTGGCCTGATAAATTCTTTCCTCCCAAAGGAAGGTGGTCCTGGGCATAATTACCTTTCCCATGGGCAGCTTCTGCTTGGGTTGTCATCACAAGGGTGATGCCAGCTGACACATCGGGACACTAGGTGTGTTTTTCAAGGAAAAGCATGAGCTACCTCAAAACAAAAACAAGTGATTGACATTTTAGCTTCTGGAAACTGAATTCTGTGAGCTCTAACTCTGGAAGTTTTCAGAGGGCAAAAAATAAAAAAGATCATCTTTGTGCCATATTGCACACAGTGTTGTTTTCTTTCCTCTGGCTGCTTGAGCTCGTCTTGGTGTCTGGAGATTCCAACAGAATCTCMAAATCTGGCAATACCATTTCTTGAATTTCCTTTGGAGAGAAATCAGTGATGCTGATTCTGGGCATGCAATTAGTGTGTCTGGCTTTAATTGCTCTCTTCATACATAGAAAGCCCTTGATCCTATTAAATAGCACTAATCTTTCTTTCCCCACCGTCTGATTTTGAAGGAACAATTACAAGATGTTACTCTCATTTGCAAGGTTAAAGAAGACAGTGTGCTTTCTTGCTGTGTGTAGCAATCCTTTCCTATAAAGCGTCATCAAAAATTAATAAATGGAATAACCCTTTCATCACTGTCCGAGTAGAGCTTCTCCCAGGGCGGTTCAGTCTTTTGTCCCAGTCTACAACAGGAATTACTCTTTCCTGGGTTTTGCACTGGGCACTTCCTTCTGGAAAATACTGATTTTCCCTCTCAGTCACGTCTTCATAATTCCTCTGAATTCAAAAGTTCAACAAGTGAAATCTGGTCAGGCACTCACATAGTTCAACCCTCAGCTATACCAGCTGCACTTGCCTGTATTTGCATATTTAATGTTTCCACAGGTGATGTTTCCTACCTGAGTTTATGACCAGCCTGTGCTGGGGGAGGATGCGATGTTGTCAGAGATTTGTGGCGCAACTCAAAAACTATCAGACTATGAACAAATAGGAATAAGGCAGAGGCACAAAAAGAAAAAAAAGAGAGAAAAAAAAGAGAAAAAAAAAGAAAAAAAAAGAGAGAGAAAAAAAAAGAAACTGTTCAAGTGGAGCTGGTCGGATAGTGGAATCTGAAATCTTTGGGAATCTCTCTTTAATTGCCTCTGACATATTTTGGACCTCCCTTGTGCTGTGAGCCCTGTCTAAGACTTACTGTAAAGCCAAGCAGCACACGAGGTGAGTGAATGGCAGGCTTTGTCAATTTGCCAAACAACAAATCCCCTCCTTTGTAATAATCTGGATTTTTAAGAATTCCAAGCTCAGTTCATGAACACAGTTACATGAAAGAGGCTTTTAACCATGCAGTATTACAGAGTTTAGATTAACTCTCCCAGCCCTCACACTCCTTCCTTAYGTGGACGGGATCTCTTAAGTAAATATTAAAATATCTGCAGCTTTAGAAATAATTCAGCCTTTCAGGGTTTAGCCTTGTCTGGTCTGTGCTGTGCCTTGTGAAGTGTGTGCAGTCTGTACTGCCTCTCAAAAAGCAGATATTTTTTACCAATTTATTTCAAGCCCTCAGCAGGTTAATGATGCACATTTCTTGGAGGGGAAGGCGTGAGAGGGGTGGCTGGCACAGCCCGAGCTCAGCCCACACGTTAGACTCTAACATGACATCATTATCTATTCAGACTGGCAAAAAAAAAAAAGAGAAAATGTTTGATGGAAGCGTCATGGTAAAATATAACTCATTTCTTATTACACATTCACAAAGTACTAAAATATCTATTTAACAAAGGAAATCCATAGGACAAAATCTGGTCCAATTATAGAGATCCAAATCCTAAAATGTAAAATTGTGTGTAATATCTACCTCAGCACACATTCTTAATTTAATAGAAAYGTCTTAAAACATTTTATTTTCCAAATTATTTACAGATCCCCTATTTAATCTGACTACTGAATTAATCAGATATCCTCTCATAAGTAAATTAAATTCTTGGGCCCCAAAATGTCTGAATGTAGGACTTGAATTCTTGGTTGAAAAAGAACAAAATAATCCTTTAGCAATCTCCTTTTTTTTCAGACTGCAGTTGTAACAATAGGAAATACATGAGATGTATCATCCTCAGTTAGTTTAGTGAAAAGCAGGAGAGTGTAGTGGCTAACTTTTAAAAGCTGTGTTTCTTTTCAGTTAAAAATAGTACTGTGCACCTCCCAAATTCACCCTCCTTAGCAGCAGCACGATTTGCACTAACAGGAATAAATATCGCCTCAACTCCATGTGTTTGCGGCTTCTTCTTTTTTTTTTTTTTTTTTTTTAATTTTGAAGGCAAAACCTTCCAAAATTATGAATAAATTTATCACTACAATTCTTTTGACGGGAAAAGAGTAACAAGACAGCCACACAAGAGAGTATTATTTCATGTTAGCCGAGACAAGATGTTGAGGATTTAGAGCTGATCTTTTGTTTCTGCTCAAAGACAAATGGTATAAAATTTATATGCATGCTTCTGTCCTGACAGCAAAGGGCTTCAGCACGACTCTCACTGAGAGCTAATGGCTCTTGGGGATGCTGCTCTCTGAAGTCCCTTGGCATGAAATGGTCTCTTGCAATTCATCTCCCATTAATAGCAGCTCCAAGACTACAGTCTCTCTCTTTTTAAAATTCTTTTATCCCTGCTGAAGCTGCCTGTGTTTTCATTGGAGCCGAGAGGGTGCAGGGTGAAGGTTTTCTCGCTCAGCTCTATTCTCTCGCAGCTCTCAGCAGACGGCGGGACAAGCTGGAGGCCCTATGGTGAGCGGGGCCTGAT